CTATGCTGATGACACTCAACTCTACCTCTCATTCCATCCTGATGATCCGACGATAGCTGCTCGCATCTCAGCTTGTCTAACAGACATTTCTTGCTGGATGAAGGACCATCACCTTCAACTCAACCTTGCCAAGACAGAACTGCTTGTGGTTCCAGCAAACCAATCGTTTCAACACAATTTCACCATCCAGTTAGGCACATCAACCATAACGCCTTCAAAAATAACCAGAAACATTGGAGTTATGATTGATAATCAGATGACTTTCTCAGACCACATTGCTAAAACTGTCCGGTCCTGCAGATTTGCTTTATTCAACATCAAGAAGATCAGGCCCTTTCTTTCGGAACATGCTTCACAACTCCTTGTTCAAGCTCTTGTTTTGTCCAGGCTGAACTATTGCAATGCTCTCTTGGCAGGTCTTCCAGCCAGTTCTATCAAACCTTTACAATTAATCCAGAACGCGGCAGCAAGATTAATTTTTAATGAGCCAAAAATAATGCACGTCACACCTCTGTTTATCAATTTGCACTGGATACCAATAGCTGCTCACATAAAATTCAAGGCATTGATGTTTGCCTACAAAACCACCACTGGCTCTGCACCCCTTTACCTAAATTCATTACTTCAGAATTATATGCCCTCTAGAAGCTTGCGTTCTGCAAGTGAACATCGCTTGATTGTGCCATCCCAAAGAGGCACAAAATCACTTTTAAGGACTTTTAGATTAACTGTTCCCTCCTGGTGGAATGACCTGCCCAACTCAATCCGAGCAGCTGAGTCCTTAGCCATCTTCAAGAATCGGCTAAAAACACATCTATACCATCTTTATTTGACCCTCTAACTCTAGCACTCTCTATTCTAATTCTATTCTTAAAAAAAAGAAATAAAAGAAAAAAAACTCTAGCTTTCTAATCTTTTTGTATTCTATCTGTTTTCTTTTCATTTATTATACAATTAACAAAAGCAAAAAAAAAACTCTAACACTAGCTGCTCTATTCTTTTTCTATTCTATCTGTTTTCTTTTTATTTACTATATTATTTCAAAACACCTTGCTATGTGTACTGCGTTAAGCTAACTGAGACTTGTTATAGCACTTGTATATCATTGCTCTTTTGTTGATTTTGATTGCGTCCATTGTCCTCATTTGTAAGTCGCTTTGGATAAAAGCATCTGCTAAATGACTAAATGTAAATGTTTATTTATTTTTTTTATTCACAAATGTTTTAGAATTCTAAAGAGCATCTACACTGCAGTTAATTGTTTGCTCTGATTAAGAACAGATGTCTCTCATTTTTGGAAACACAATCTTGAAGCCATTGACACTTTTGCCCCCTAGTGGACAATGTGTAGCTGCACAAGCTATTGTATACTGTATAATATCAATTATTACTTATTACTGCCAAAGTTAAAATATTTTGTAGACACTGTCACTGAATCTCTGAAATAACACATATAAGTAAAACACATGATCCGACGTATATTCATATAAATGTGATATTAAGAGATATAATATTACAGACCCCATGCTTTTATAATCTACCTGGCCCCAAATCAGTGTAATGTATGTAATATACTGTATAATAATACAAAGAAAAAGATTATTATAATATATTATATAACTAAGTGGAAAGGCTATCAGATAGTTAAGTGATGAGTTAAAGAATAAAACCAAAACATTTTCCATTGCATTTCCATTCCATTGTTCAATTAAAGTGATGAGTAAGAAAAAAACAAACATCATGTCATTATTACAAGAATTGTTTTGGTTTCCGTTGAACTGACTCAAACAAGCACACTTAAAAACTGGTATTGCATTTAATGATTCATTCTTACCCCACTCTTCATACACAGTGTCCTGTCCATCTCTCTGGCCACCCAGGAGCTCCACCCACGAGTCCTTCTCAGCTCTAAGAAAAAAAGAAGACATGTTTAACGAGGGAAACATCATAGTATTTTATCCGTTTTATAATTATTTGTTTTGATCTTTCCATCAAGACCATGTTGTGTCTGACAGTTTGACAGTTCTTCGCATTGTAGGTACTGACTCTGAATTTGTTTGCAGCAGAAGTTAAGATGTGGTGCTCCGGTGATTATGCAAAAGGACAAGTCTAAATATCCGGTTCAGCTCACATCGCTCCAGCTCCTCTTCCAGATCTTTGCCCTCGGTCACTTCAGCCAGAGAGCGCTGCACGTAGTCATGAACTACAAACCGATCCAACCTGCATTCATTCGTAAAAGACAGGATGGGCAGACAAAAATATACAGACAA